ATCCGAGCTCTGTGGACTTCCTGTCCCTCATACATATTGATTTGACCTAAAACAAGTTTGCAGCCGTCTGACTCTCAAAGCCAGCAAAGAACTTGACCTCATTCTCATTCAAAACTGTGCCGCAAACAGCCGCCAACGGTCATGCACCTCGCTGACCATTATTTAATTCGCTTCACTGTATGCCCCCAGGAACAGCCCTTTGTTCCACCATCTCTGGTCTCTTTCTATTGCAACCTCCGCGGCGACTTTTCCTGAGTGGTCACCTCCGCTCCACCTCCTCTTAGCACATTTTCATCACTAAAGGTCAACGAGGCCTCAGAGTCTCTCTGCTCTACACTGACTCCAGCTCATGTCTGGATAGCCTGTGTCCTCTATCCACCAAACCTCTAACCTGCGTCACCCATGGCTGACTGATACCATCCGAAAGCCACCCTGACAAAACAGCGTAAATCCAGCGACCCCACTGATCTCAAAGACTATTAGTTGCTCCTATCTTAACTCTCATCCGGCATCAGTGCTGCCAAAACTGCTTTTTACAGTGATAAGATCAGCATTACCACAAACAATGAGAAATTATTTTTCACCTCCAAAACATTACCCATTCCTTGGCAACACCTTCAGCTGCTCCAGGACTGACGTAATCACAGTCGCAATCATCCCGATTTTAAACCCTAAATATCAAACATGTCCACACTGTTCTCGTTTGCGGTTCCCCGATGGTGGAACGAGCTACAAGTTGCCATCGGAGCAGGGGCGTCCCTCTCTGTCTTCAAGACTCATCTCCTCTGAGAGCACCTCCCCTTCTTTCACCTCCAACACCCTAACATGTCAAACTCTACTTACTCTGCACTTCTTTACCTGATCTCCTTGCACTGCGTCTTGTTGAGCAGATTTAGTACTTAGTGCTTACTCTAAGGCCTCCTACTGTACTGAGGCTTGAGTGTTGTTCCTCATTTGTAAGTGGCTTTGGATAAAAGCCAAATGAGTAAATGTAAATGTAATGTACTCAGTAGCAGTCAGTGGTACCGGTCTTTCCAAGGTCATGCTTGGTGCTGGAATGAGAGCTATTTCCTCCCTCACTTTGACCAAGTGTGAGCTGGAGAAATGTCTGGAATCTCTGGTACTTCCCAAAAGCACCACTCTGCTGAACTGACTAGACTGAGCAGATTTCAGTATTTTGTTCGTGTGAACTCCATGTTTAATGTTGTGTAAATACACACATCTCTGAATCACACTTTGCTCCTGTTTCAGCTCAAATGAAAATCTTCTAAAAGATGAGTCTATAGGCCAAAAAAAAAAAAAAAAAGCTGTACAATGAAGCAGCTACAGGCCAGTGTGCTCCTTATGATTACATCTGAGTTACAATGAGGGCTGTGTTGAAGCCTCACAGTACTTTTTGTTCTTGTTGAATTCCAATTTCTCAGCTATGCACCATTGATTTTGTATTGATGTGTAAGTGCAATGGCCTCCAGACAAATCCTATTACGGAAAGCTAATGTTTTACCAGGCCACATAAGGCATTGTGAGCAGGATTTGAGTTTCACTTTATTGGTCTTACTGCGCTGTGGGGCGGCTTCATCAGATCAGGTTTCATGCTGTAATCTGACGATGGAGATAAGAAAACAATACAGAAATTGAGTGAGGGATTGCACTAAGTTGTTTGTTTTAGTGCAGTTTGAGTGCTGGAAAAACGCAGTCTATTATCCTTAATTTTTTTTTTTTTTTTTTTAACATACATTAAGGTTTTAATGAGACAATGATGTGTTGATGTGTTGAGACATTTAACTGACACTGTAAAGCTGTAACTGTAGGTGAAAAAAATCATGGTTAAATTCCTGATCCTAATTGTAATCCTAATTCCATGGTTACAGTAACATGGCCCTGTGTGTCATCACATACACTATACATGCACTGTACTCCTGTTGCATGATCGATGCAGGAAGAAGTATGTGCAGAATAGTTTAGAATTATCTCATGAGTATGCTGTTTGAAAAAAAAAAGCTTTTAATTAGCATGGATGTATTCTGGAAGTAGTCTATACAGTCCCTCAAATTTTAATAATGATGTATCACAATATGACACAGACTGAATACAGATACCTCATGTCTGTTCTCTAAATACAGATTCTTAACACTTATAGTCTGTCACAACCAAACCCTGAACACTGCAGCACAGTGGAGCATGAACCAGAAATGCATGTAATCACTGTATACATTATTTCCCCATGCATGCACACTGGCTCAGTCAACAAAGAAAAGAGAACAACTGAGAGTCTGCGGGGAAAAAAAAAATTCACCACAGTTTCAAGACTGAGCAGCATGTATTTAGACACGTATTTGCTTGCTGCAACAGCAATTTATATGAGAAAGAGGAAGCTCAACCATCTGCCTCTGCTCAAGGAAGTTTATTTCATGCTTTCTTTCAGTACCTCCCTGCTTCTTATTCATATTTAATTATAGTTACACTTATTCACTTCTGGGAGCTGCCCAGTACAACACAGTGCTCATCTTCTGGTCACTGAGCTGTTTCACTGGAACAAATGGGAGGAACAGCACAGAAACATTTATTTCTAAATGCTGACATGTTAAAACATTAACATTAAAACATTAATGCTAAATGTCAGGTTTCGACATCCCTCCAAATAAAAGATACAATGGCATCTATCCAATATATAACATGTAACAGTCATCATACGAGAGGAAATCAATCGACTGCAGGAGAGGCCAATATACCCATCTCTCCAACAACAGCAGCTTCCATTAGTAATGCAATCACAAGATGTGTTGCATTTGCAAAAAGGTTTTGGGGATTTAAAAAACAAGAAAATCCCTTTGTAATTACATCATTCTAAAAGCTGAACACAACATCTCCACACCTCTTTTCTCAAGATTGTCAGCAGGCATTCTGGGAAAAACTCACTACTGACATAGAAATATAAAGTAGATAACCGGTAAAAAAACAAACAAACAAACAAACAAACAGGTAAATTACAATACTTCATTACAAAAACACAACTGGAAAGCAATGACAAACAGACATTAATGAGACAAACTGGTAGCATCATTCCAGCAGGGACTTTTCCTGTAATTTATTTTGCTTATGGGCAATTTAATGAAAGCTCTGGAGGAAAGAGCGTTGCTTAGTATCCCTGCCCAAAATTTCGAAACTAATTTTCGGGCTGAAGATGCCAAACATCTGTCCACAAATCTGATTCTCAGGGATCCTTGGCATTCAAAATGTTGTAGAGACAGTAGAATGGTGATTTTGAAATGACTGGTTTAATCATTCGGCTACTTTCTCATGATGTTAGCCCAGGCAGCTGGAAAACAAGCTCCATCTGGAAGTCTGAGCTGCAAAAAAAAAGTTTAAGGAGAAATATTTCGAGAGAAATGACAGAGGCAGCTGCTTATCTGAGATGTGGGCCTTCACATCTCAGATGGGAACAAGTCAGGAATGAGTGATGAGAAGAGTCAGCATCAGCAGAAACAGGCATAACTCCCCACTCATTTCATCTACAGTGTTTTGGAGGGGTGTCAAAACTTGACACAATGTCTCAGATTTTCTTCTGAATCTACATCTGTCCATCCCTCAGATGTCTTGGTTCTCAATCAGTATGTCTGTCAGTGATCTGAAATGATTAACCCTTCAGTTGCCTGAGAGGACAGATGAACCATAGATCCAGGATTTGATTGCAGTGGGAGGGAATAGTTAAGGAGAACTAATAAATGCAGCTTCTCTTGACCACTGCTCTTGTTAAACCTGAACAAAGGCCCACTAGTGGGGTCGTCTGGAGGATCTGCCTTGTTAAACGCTACTTATCCTCCTGTGCGGCCTGGCTGTACTCTCAGGCTAATGGTTTAATCTGAGGACATGATTTAATAAAACATCCAGTGGGAAGGTTGCAGGGGGACTCACTCTTACTCTTGCTACTCTTACTAGTTATTTAAAGATTTCAGTTTCTGACCCTCTCTCATGACAGATCTCACCCCTTCATACGAACTGTTGCACCTCTTTACCCAACTGACTTTTATCATTTTCAGTGAGCTATGAAATATCACATTTTTGTTGCGTATTTGTAAATTAACACCCTGTGTGCTAGATAATTGAGCAATTGAGACATGATCTAGGGCTTCAGGCTGCATGCTCACTTGTTTTCTGGATAAGACTGCCCCATTTTTTCCCAAGTGAGTTGCTCCCAAGAGTCACTCTCAGTTGTCCACAGGGGCAAGCACTCGCATTCACCATGAATATATGACAACTCAATTAAAATATGTGAGGTGGATGAAACACAAAAGGATACTCTTAATTATACCGGTGTTTTCTGCCTCCTGATTTTTTGTTCTAAAGGGATATTGTGAACGTTTGAGCGCAGTCTCTCTGATTTTTGAAGTCTGTACTATTTTCTACAAGCCTAACTTCAGGGCCTACCTCATCCATGTTCCCAATTACCGCCTGTTTCAAAGAGTCAGCAAACAAAAGTAATAATTAAACAGAAACAATAGATGTTTAAAAGCAATAAGGAGAAAAACAGCTGCGAAACATGACCTCTCTCAACAGAATTAGCTGTGCAGCAGATAGACAGCTGCTCCGGGAATTTAGTTTTTTCCATCCACGCTTACTGTCATGGTTGTCATAGTAACTGCATCAGTCCGGAGCAGGAGCATTATGGGATGCAGTTGAAGCAGGACCTCATATGTGCCCAGGAGCAGCCACATATCTTCAGACATATAAGGAATGCCCAAGCAAATGATGCATGTCTAAAGGTCTGATAAAGACCTTTTTTTGTGATGAAAGATTCCTAATTTCTTTGACTGTGTGATTGTTGCTTTGTAGGTGTTTAGTTCCTACAATAAGAAATTCCACTAATTAGATGCATGTGTACACTTCTACCACATCTGACAATGAAGTCTATCTTCTGTCTTGGTCCTGCTCACTGCCACGTTCATTCTGCCCATCTGACACCTTTTCTTTTGTGTGTGTGTGTGTGTGTGTATGTGTAGGCATCAGGCCACCCATTATGAACGGGCCCATGCACCCACGCCCCCTGGTGGCGCTGCTGGACGGGCGCGACTGCACTGTGGAGATGCCCATCCTGAAAGACGTAGCTACTGTGGCCTTCTGCGACGCTCAGTCCACACAGGAGATCCACGAGAAGGTAACACACTTAACTAGATAATGTACACAACATACGCACGCGCACACACACACACACACACACACATACGCACGCACACACACACCTGTTAACTACAGCATCCTCCCTGCACTCAGACACAGACCCTCATGCCCTCCAAGTGCTTCTCCTAATAAAGCTCACACTCATGAACACATCAGACCTTAATTCAAGTCATTCAAGTAAATTGAATTGTGGCCTCAGACTTTTGTATCCCACTGTGCATTACACAAATATTAATTGATCGGTTGTAAAAAATTAATTCACATTAATCTCAGGAAAATTTTACGACATCATATAACATAGTCATGGTGGTTTTGCTCTTCCAATCGAGCTCCACTTCACTGCACAAATTTCGATTTTTGGGCGGCTTCAGTAACTGTGCAAGAAATGGCACCAAGCGTAAAATTCTACCTTGAGAAATCTGTGAGGCAACAGATGCGGCATCTGTGTTTTTCTACAATACATGGAATCGCCTCATTGATTTGCAAGTGATCTCTGATCTGGAAAAATTACCATTTGTGCCACATTCACATCACATCATTCAGACTGTCATTACAACTAATGAGTCAAAGCTGTCAGCCTACAGTGCAACTCTGACACAGACAAGTGTCAACAAACAGCAGCAAAATGGCTACAAAGCCTCCATCATTGGCAGTCACTTCTAAATAAAATGCAATATAAACAACAATATAATCTATTCAGCTAATTTAAAAGGAGCATACACTTCTTTTTTTGTATCTAGTTTCACTATTAAACTTCTCTGCATGCATACACAACACAATAAAAGTAGCAAATTTAGGCAATTTAAATAATGTGACTAAAAGGATAACAGTAGGGATAACCTTTGTGGACGGGTTAGGGAAAACCAGAAGGTTTTCCTGGTATTTCCATTCTTCCCACATTGCATGAATGCAGCATTGGCACTTGAGATATCATCAGAAAGAGAGGGTCTGAAGTTATCAAAACAATACTGGCTGTGCATTTAGGATGCTTTATAGTTATAATTTAGCTGTAACTTTAGTTAAAGTAAGACAGGAAAATGAGTGAAGAAGAATAAAGTACAGTACAGAGAGTAAACTAAAAATGTGGGTCAGGCTCGGATCTTGCCACAGCCACTATGGATTGTAAATGGGTTTGTATGTCTGGCAGGGTTACGTCTCGTTCTGGGTGTCTGCCAGGCACACTCTCTCTGTGAGCGCGCTCAGTAGGCCACAGCGTGGGAGAAACAGATGGCTCTCCTTCGCTCACTATCTATCTCTTGCCCTCTCCCTCTCTCTCTCTCTCTCTCTCTCTCTCTGGCTCTACACAAAGCAGCCACCTCATTGTGTAATTAAAAGGGCTTCTTTATTGTAATTGAACCGCATGTCATTTTCACCCTCTCTTGCACACATGAAGAGGAGGGCTGGCAAAGATTGAAAGATTAACTGAGAATCAATTAAAAGGTGACAGCTGACACTGAAATGGTTTTCACACAGACCCATATATTCCTATTCTATACGGTAATCAAATTATCAGCTTTTTGAGTCATTATATTTCATTGTCCATTAAGGCATTAAGCCGTCATGCTGATTAGAAGCCACCGAACAATCCCATGAGAATGTGACTGCTGCTGATATTAGTTTTGTTAGACACCTCATCTCGTTTCCTGTGGTTATAAAAGCTTCGTTTCCATGGTAATATTCAGGAAATGGCGTTATTCCATGCAGGCAGGAATATTTAAAAAAAAAAACAGGATATGAGGGTGATATAAACAGCACCTCCAGAAAAAGCCTTAATGGAGATACTTTATGTAAACAGTGTGACAGTGAACTCAGTGAACTGTGGCTGCACTCTGCAAAGCCATGCTTGACTTGTGCTCACACCTACACAAACACATGCTGATAACTTGGCTTATAGTCTTTCTACATACAGTATGTACTGTACCATGAAGCAATACCTGAGACACCCTTGCATGGCTGTCTACAGACAGGTGGCTCAGTAAGAGTATGCAGATTTTGTTATTTCATATAAATACACACTAACAGATATTCCTACCTCTCTGTCATTTAAGTAACCATGTGTGTTGTGTGTGTGTGTGTGTGTGTGTTCAGGTGCTGAATGAAGCCGTAGGAGCTCTAATGTACCACACCATCACTCTAATGAGAGAAGACCTGGAGAAGTTTAAAGCCCTGCGTATCATCGTCCGCATTGGCAGCGGCTACGACAACATTGACATCAAATCTGCTGGGGAACTGGGTGAGAACACACACATGCACACACATATATACACACACACACAGAAGAAGAGCGAGTGTGTGCTGGTAATACTGTGCTGCACTGTGCTTCTAACTTTTTACACTTTTAAAAACCAAATTCATTTTATCCTTTGTAGCGATATTTGCAAGTTAACAGTACAAATCCAGCATTCATGTAACAAAGTGATCTACCAGGAATGTGTGCTTGCATATACACAATTTGACAATTCTCTGCCTTGTGCTGCTGCAGAAGTTGAGCCAAGTTTAAATTTGTTGCTTTGTGTCACTAGCACTGACAAAAGTTACTTTATAAAGTTTTTTACATTTTTTTATTGTGTGGCCTATTGCTTCAAAAGTTTAAAAAAAGTAGTAACTAAATACAGATAATAGTTACAGTTAATATTCAGACCTTTTGTAGATGAGCAATGATCTTCTGTATTCAGTGATTTAAAAAAAAATCTTTAAACATTTCATTGTTATGAATGATTGCCCCACTTGCTATGTAAACAGAGAAAGTAGTTCCAGGTAGTTCAAAACAAAAGGCTGTTTTTCAATCGTAGTTTTTCTATGTCCTAAATGAAATTGTCATATTTGACCATTTATTATTTTTAAGTTCAACTATTAACTGTTTATTTTATTCTAACTTTTTAAATAACAATAGCTTCACAGTAATATAATTTATCACAAGTGTAACAGACAGACAAGTTAAAAAGCAAAATAATCTTTAATCTATAGTCTATAATCCTTTTTGGGTCTTATTCCTATTTTGGATCTCATTCTCTGCTGTTGTCTTACTGTTTTCTGTATTCTGTGCTGAGCTTGTACTTTTCTTCATTTAATCTAAATAATTTAGCCTTTTTAAAGTTTACTGTTGGTCCGTTGGTTTTTGGTGTTGTTCGGTAACTCTGTTACTAAATATTATATAAATAAAGTTATTATTATTATTCTCCCAAAACATTTTTCATTGCTATCTGCCATGAGCAGCCATGTTTACAACAAGTCTATGATATTTGTGGAGAAAAAGAAAACTCATTTTGTAAAAACTCATCTCTCTCCTGCAGCAGCCGGAGCTTTACTAACGTCCCCTATCTTCTTCCAACAAGAGGCTCTGGCATTTGAAAGTTGCCAGCGGTGTTTGTGGAGAAAACTGCTGACATCGCACCTTCAGCCTGCACTTCTCCACCAAAATAGCTTTGGCCAAACTTCATCTCTTTCAAAGGGCCCAAAAACCTATTTCTAATCCTTATCTGCTCTCTGGTCCAACAGGCATCGCAGTTTGTAATATGCCAGCAGCTTCAGTGGAGGAGACGGCGGACTCCACGCTGTGTCACATCCTCACCTTGTACCGACGCACCACCTGGCTGCATCAGGTTTGTGTAGCCTTGTGTGGCTGATAAAAGGGAATGAAATGAACTGGATTTGAATGAACTCATTCTAAATGTATTAGTTAGAGGTGTACGGTTGGTTATCACTATTTTAGTTTGGACAGTTACTAATAATCGTCTACTGACAAATCAGCAAAATTGAAACATTTCGTTTCCTTTAGAATGTTGCTGTATTTGAAAGACGTTGATGTAAGATGTAGAAGGTACAGTAAAATGATTTGTTCCTCAAATCAGTTATAAGTTATTATTTAGACATATTTCATAACCATGATTCTGATATCTAAAAGGATTTAGACTGTGGTCATTAAGTGCAAAGTGCTGGCATTATGAAATTCACCTGGATCATGTAAAGCTGTAATGTTTTTGTTGTCTGTGTCATTTTTGCATGTAATAATTAATTGATATTCATGCCAGGCTCTCCGGGAGGGCACGCGGGTTCAGAGCGTGGAGCAGATCCGAGAGGTGGCCTCAGGGGCGGCAAGGATCAGAGGAGAGACACTGGGACTCATAGGGCTCGGTGAGCAATGCCCTGTCAATGACATCTACTCTGCATACTGTTGCAGGAGACGTGTTTATATTGTGCGCACAGTTCGGTTTGATGGTCGAACTGTCCATCAAGTTTTTAATCAGACCGTTTTTCTCTTTTTTCCATTTTGGGAAGTTTCGTCCTTAGCTCAGCTAAATTAGCTTCCCAAGGAGTTACTGCCAATAAAATATAAGCCGATTAAACCAGAGGTAGAATGCAAATCTCTTCCCTGTACAGTCTGAGCATTTTCCAGCAATAATGAGCAGACGTGTGCAGCCAGAGCATTATGTAATTTGTACGAAGAAAATGGGGAATATTAGATGCACAAAAATGGCAGCTATTGTGTTTTTATGTTCCATTTGAATGAGTATTCATGTGTATGGAGTTTGTCTAAATGCACCTGTGTGTTTACTAATGAGTGTGCCTGTGTGTATTCATGTGTTCTAGGTCGAGTGGGCCAGGCTGTAGCCCTGCGAGCCAAGGCCTTTGGCTTCAATGTGATTTTCTATGACCCTTATTTGGCTGACGGAGTAGAAAGATCCCTGGGACTACAAAGGGTCACCACACTACAGGTAGCGCGCACACACACACACACACACACACACACACACACACACACACAAACTCACACACCATTGGGCCATTTTTGTTTCTGTGAAACCAGCAACGACCTGACTGTTTCCGGCACTTTTGTGTTTTATGAAAGGAAAAATGCCTCCACTCAAAAGAAATCCTTCCATACTTGTACAGCTTTAAGTCCAGCTTGAAGAATGATCATTTCATTGACTTTCACTATAACAGCTAACACACCAACAGGAATGTGGTGATGCCATGATGCCATGTCCACTGTTTATATCCTTTAAAAAGAGTTCAGGTTTCCATATTAAGTAAAAAGGTAATTCATAGCATATTGCTAAACCTATTACTTTATCATACAGCTACAGCAGGGTTCCTATCAGGGATGGAAGTCCCAGTCTTGTTTTTGCTTGAGTCTCACACTAGTTTCATAGGGAGGGATGCTGTGAGAATTTTTATTAAGTTTCTCTGCATGTAATGCCAGTGTCAGCAAAGAATGTCTCCCATGACAGTGATATTTGACTGTCACCACAGTACCATTTTAACTCCTGCTAGGACTGTAAGAACTCAGCACTGGCATAGCATTTAAATGGATTCACACTAAATCTTCTTTTTACTGAGGAAAAAAATCCAACAGTGCTTTCTTCACCATCCACCATGACAAATGTGTATTTACCGGTATGTTGCTGCGCCTACTTAAAGTGCGTGGAAAAAGGAGCCCCCTCTTGCCCCCCCCCCCCTAATTTAGCTTCACGTCTTAGCGTGAATCTGGTGAAATTTGTCTGCTGTGAAGTGACTGTATGAAGTGTAAACAGAGGAGAGGGATTTACTGGCACTTCTTTGTCTTGTCTTTCTTCTCAGGACCTGCTCTTCCACTCTGACTGTGTCTCTCTGCACTGCAGCCTGAACGAACACAACCACCACCTGATCAACGACTTCACCATCAAACAGGTGAGGGAGAGCCACGCACGCAAGCGCGCACACACACACACACACCAACACTGACTTGAATGATTTATTTATACCTACATCAACTAAAGCCATAAATATTAAGTGGATACCCATAGATGTCCACTACCTACATACAGATGAATGAGGTTCTGTACTGCACGAGCTGCATACGATGACTGATACACTCAGGAAATATTTGTTGTCGATGACGCTCCCTCAGCCCAAAGGATTATAGCTCTAAAGCAATTCTGACCTTGCTGGAGGAAGGAAGGGGAATAGACAATGTGAACCAATACAGTATTACATATTTATCATTATGGTTAAGTTTCACTGGGAGTTTCTGCACCGTGAGTAGAATATTTTTAAGGACAAGTGTTTTGTTATGTCCCTGTACGTGTACATGTTAAAGACCACTGGCCAACATTGAGAAGAATTAATATTTCATTTTATTATGCCTTTAAATGTCCTTAGAACAAGAAAAATTTAAATTGTTATCTTATTAGATGAAAGTAAATCACTACTTATATGTGTGCATATGTGTGTTGAAGATGCGTCAGGGGGCGTTCCTGGTAAACACAGCCCGGGGGGGTTTGGTGGATGAGAAGGCCCTGGCTCAGGCTCTGAAGGAGGGGAGGATACGTGGAGCTGCTCTAGACGTTCATGAGACAGAGCCTTTCAGGTAAGAAAATCACTGTTATCGCATACATGAACTGTTATCTGTGATGTTTTCTCGATCAGAGATGCAGAACATGGTTGCAAAACCAAGACAGCATTTCATTCTAGTTTTAGGGGACATCGCAAATATGATGCTTTTTTTTTGGTTTGAAGGAATATCTTTGGATTTTGATTGTTCAGACAAAATAAGCAATTTTAAATTTAGAAATTGTGATGGGCATTGATGGCATTTTTATAGACTAAGCAATAAACCAGATAATTAATAATATGATTCAGTGGTGAATGAAATCATTGGTTGCAGCTGTAACCCGTTGCACTGTTTGTTTTGTGTCAGTTTCAGTCAGGGCCCGCTAAAGGATGCTCCCAATCTGATCTGCACCCCACATGCCGCCTGGTACAGTGAACAGGCATCTCTGGAAATGAGAGAGGAGGCAGCCAGGGAGATCCGAAGGGCCGTCACAGGTAGTGCGCGCACGCACGCACACACACACACACACACACACACACACACACACACACACACACACACACACACACAAACCTGCTGAAAAATGTAAACACAAGTCTGAAAAGAGATATTTTTAGGTGTTCTGGTACAGTCAAGCATAAACCATCCTTATTCTTTTAGCCGAGAGAGACTAAAAGGCCTTTCAGAGTGTGCCTCTCTTTCCTCCTCAGAACCTCCCTCGTTCTATCCTCTTTTTCTCATTCTTTGTTCTCTCTTTTCCATCCTCTGGTTTTGCGGTTTCCTCGGTGGCTCGGCCTGTTCAATCTTAATTCTTGCACACCTTTTGTATCTCTGCAAAAAGTGGGTTGGTGAGGTAAAAAAAAAAAAAAAAAAAAGGTAGTGCAGTAACACCAACTAGTTCCCCTGTGTGCCTTAGAGAACACTGCACTATTCATTTCAGGTATTCCTTTTTTTTACTTGAGCACCTCATATTTTTTTCTCTCTCTCTCTCTCTGCCTTTTTCTTTTGCGCCGTCTCTGTTTTTCTTTTAGGTCGTATCCCAGACAGTCTGAAGAACTGTGTGAATAAGGAGTTCCTCACCCAGAACAACCACTGGGCAGGAGTTGACCCAGCTACCGTCCACCCCGAGCTAAACGGGGCTTATAGGTAACAACACGAAAAGGATAACTCATTGACTGATGCAAAGTTTGACCGATCTCTTGGAAGAACAAGTACAAGTGTTTTACTTCTTTGTCGGCTGTAAAAAGTGTTTACAGAGCATACACAGTGTTTTATGACAATGACATAAATGATATGATGATGCACGATAATTCAAAATCTATTGTTGGATATTTTTAGGTCAGTGTCTCTGTATGTCCAAAACTCAGCCAGTAATTCACCCCTGTTAGCCGATAAAACATTTATTAGGTTAGCGGTGCTAGGTACAGTCTTTCACAGAAACCTATAGTTGCTACAACAACACAGTGGGCAAGGATACACCCTGCTAGCATCCACCGATACCTCAGTGACAGCAAACAAATATCAACATCAAGGCACAGCTTGCATCTTTCCGCACCTTTAACTATTCTTTCATCTGCCTGTCAGTCACTTGGGATTTCAGTTGCTGATCTGCAGTACCAGTTTGAGGCATTATTAATAGATTAATATTGCTACTACGAAGCCTGATCTGTTACTGATCTTGTAACCCATTGTGCTGTGGCGGCTATCTGTAAAAAAAGTTAAAACACTAAAACTGCACTGACATTTCAGTATTTAGTTGATGCTGCAGACGAAGACACAAATCATGAATCCTTTGTTCTCCACACGTTGTGCAAAACACTGCAGGACCCTGTACAAAATGTCACGGGAGGGCGATAAAAAAAGCTGTGATGCAGGCTATAATTTCTGTAAAGGTCAATTTACTCAAATTACAAAAGAATTAATATATTTTCTCACATATCCCTCATGGAATCTTGCCATGAAGATGCTTTACTTCTCTGAGATTGTGCCAGTACCCCACTGGTGCTTGCCAGCACTGAAAAATGTCATTTTAAAAATTCAGCAACAGCATGTCATAGGACTTACTTTCCATTGTAGAGACAGTCCCTATGAAAACAGTTGACAGCATGTTAACCAGAGTAATGAGGACATCGTTTCGGGAAAAAGATAGGGCTGTTTAATATTTTAGATGCAAGCACCACAGATAAAATCTTCATGGCTAGATACCACTAGATTTTTTTGGTAATTAAGTTGGAGGGAAATGTCAAAATATTTCAGTTGGATTGGCTTTCATAATGTTATTGTAGATCTAATGTGATCAGGCACACTGTGACCGATCAAGTATCACATATTTGCAACTGCAGTTTCAGTTGAACTTCAGTTTCGTATCGCTCTCTCTGCCCTCTAGGTATCCCCCAGGAGTTGTGAGCTTGCCAGCTGGTGGCCTCCCGCCTCCAGTTGAAGGCATTGTGCCGAGCGCGGTGCCCATCACACACACCCTCCCGCCCGCTGTCACACACCCTCCTCATGCCCCATCTCCTGGACAAAACACAGTCAAGCCACCAGAGGGCGACAGAGAGCAGCATCCAAATGACCAACTGTAGCCACACACTCACACACACAGGCTTGTCCGTGTTGTCTGGTAACTGGAGGAGGTCGGCATGGCAACCGGTGTCAAAGCAGTATGTTCCCTAGCGACAAGTTGTTATCAGACAGGTTCAGTGTCAGATCGACAAGTTGAGGTCCCAAAAACAATCGATTCCACTACTCTCTGGCAATTGGTTCCCAGCAGCCAGTTCATACTCCAAAGAGGAAGAAGAAGAGGATGATGATAAAGAGGATGAGGAGGAGGAGCGGATAGCTGTCAAATGCTCTAATCAAAGCACAAAACAGTTGTCCTCTGCCCCAACCAGAAGTCCTGAGAAAGACTGTAAAACTCAAGGTCCACAGGTTGATCTTCACATAACAACTTTAGCCGAGTTTTAAATAGTTTTCTCTGCCAGAAGTAAAAAAACAAACAATAACGATCGCTTGATTTGGAAAGAAAAAAATACTGAATCAAATTCTGCTGTCTTAGACTGTAGTGTGTCCAAAGTTAGAGGAGCAGGTTTCATGTCTTTCTCTCCTTTTTCTGTGTCCTTTCCTTAGTTTGATGTACAAGCAAACGTAGTAGGTTATGAAATGAATGTAACCTGTCAGTGTACAGTTTTTAGACTTACAGAAAGAAAATACTGATATTTGTATTCCAGTCTTAACAAAAAGAGTTATGTGATCTCTCTATGTAGCCAAACTGGTTTGAGAATACAATATCTGTTTGTTTTTTTCAATGTGTCCCCAAATTAACAAGCCCCCCCAAAAAAGAGGCAGCTTTTTGCACACCATCTCAGGAAATTAAGTTTCCGCAGTTGGTATATTATTTTTTTAAATTTTTTTGTTTTAAAATTCCTTTTTATGCCACTTAGTGCTTTTGTTTTTCTACCTGCTTGCCTTTTCGTGTCCCGCTACATTAGAAAAAGAACTTTAACAAGAGCTAAAGTCGATCTAATGTTTGCTTTCGTTCGTTATGTTAAAGGGGCATATGACTTTGCTCTATGACTTATGTAAATGTTTGACCCAAATGAAGGGGGTTGTGGGAGGAAAGGCTGTTGGAAGGTGGCAAAATGGTATGCTTGGCTAGGGCGACTTCATCCCTAGTCGTGATTATTAATTGCAAAATAGAGTGGTTGCATTAATTAATCTGTAAAACAAAGCAGGTTGTCTATAAGGTGATTCAACAGGAGTTTGTAGCAGCTTACAGTTTGAGACACAGCTTCACAAAAGGTACTTATGTCTTCTTCATGTCTGATGAACCAGTACTTCCACTATCACAAAGTAACTGTCCAGCTCATGGAACATGAAGAGTTCAGCACACCAAGGTTTACGAATACGCAAAACATTGATGAATCAGTGTGTTGTTTTATGCTGCTAAATCAGTATTTTACTGACGTTGCCCCTCCAGCTCTGAATCTGTCAACTCAGCAGCAAACTGACTTGAGAATATCTGCATCAAAAAACATCAACAGTTATTCAACTGTTCTTCTTTCTGCCAGAACCATTTTCGGATCCTGTTTGAAGTTAAACTCACATGTACAGATGTCACATTCAGTTAAGGAGAGTTAATGGTTACTGACAGAGAAGGAGGAGGTGTGTGCTTGAAGCTGGGTGAAACCAAATTTACAAAAGTTTGATTTGCTCCCAAGTCGACCTTTTAAGACTTTTAAAAATGCTTTATGGCTTGTCAGTCAAAACAGCTGTCGAAAAGAGGAACAACCTGCATATGTGAACGAAAAACTATGGTTTTACAGAAACTTGAGAGACATCATATATGCACAATGAAGTAAAGATGTTTAATGATAGCATGTCAAAATGTACGGATTGCTCCAGTCTAGTATCCCTTTAACATTTCATGATGGCTCCTACCTGAGTATACCGTTTAGCCACCCTCTGTGGCCTCTGTGTCTATGTGTACATATGGTGTTCTGCCTGCCTGTGTCAATGTGACTTGGTTGTATCTGTGTCTAAAAAAAGCAGCACTGGGAGGAGGGGTGGTGGCTAGTACTCTCCACAAGGCATCCTTATAAAGACTGCCATCTAAATACACAACTAAACACTATGTAACAAGCTAAAAATGCTTCAGATAAAAAGGTAGCAAACTGAGCCAGTAATCCAAGTTTCTACTGGTTACAACACCCCACAGTACAAGCAACAGGGTAAAATATGTGAAACTCTTTGCTATCAGGAATATTTATTACTGATTCCAGCTCATGTGTTGTTGATGTTAGCGGGCCAGCTAAGTGACGGTGCTTTCTCGATCCCCTTCTACCAGCAGCTGAGTAGTAAAAAACAGTTCACTGTTGCCTACCTGGTCGTCTTCATGGTGAGGTAGTAAGCGTAGCGATCAGGGATGGAAATTTCACTAGCCATTGGTGAGTATTTCGCAGCCCAGGCTACAGTGTCCAGTTCTCACTGGCCTAAATCTAAGCGGGGTGTCTAGGACTGAGGTGACATTTAAATATCACTGTCAGGCTAAAGCCCCAAAATCCTAAAAGGAATGCTGAAATATTTTGAACTTTACTCTTAAGCGTTCCTCACCAGATGCCTGTCGTTATGTGGGGAGGGAAACTCTTTGCTAGCACTTCCTAATATAAACTCAAAGCATTCCTTATTCAAACTGATGGATGCCACAAGTAAAAACAGCAGACTATCTTTTAAAGTGTCGAGGTGCTCCTTGAAATTCCATCCCTGGTAGTAACATACAGTCCACTGTTGCCTACCTTGGTCCCCTTTATGGTAAAGTAGTAGGCGTAGCAATATACAGTATACATATTCTATATTCTACAGTAAATATCATTATTTTTGGTCAAAACTGACAACCTGACAAAGATATGTTTGTGACTGTATGCATTTGTATGAATTATTTTAAAAGGAAATAAACTGTGGAAAGGTGAAATGTGTGTCTTATTAATCTTATTTTAGGGGTAGCTATTTTATGGAGGTGGCTAGCTTTCTAATAGCATCTGTTAATCAATGCAAGTGAAAATTGATGATGTATAGTGAAACGCTACATTAAAAGTTCCTTTCCTCAAGTTTTACATGTTTGGCAGTTAGTATGCAGGAAATGACACAAGCCATGTAGAAAAATGAGGTAAATGCAAATCAAACTTTTAAAAGGTACAACACATTTTAAATTTGGCAACTTAAGTAAAACAAAGTATTACGTTTCACCACAGGTCAAAAGCTTATTGAAATGTTTTCAGGTTCTCCATTGTCCGTCAACAACAGAGGAAACTGCAGTAAATTTATTCAGAGTTCAAGCCCTGTCCTTTTACCTGGTCAATTACTTATGGTAGTTTTGCCCAAGGTAAGTGCCAGTTACCAGTTGACTCCACCAGGTGTCACCAGCACAGCTGCTGCACTCCTGCTGTGGAGACATGCAAGCCAGCTTTGACATAGGAATCTGCATTGGCTCTGCTACTTGCATCTGGTTTTCCAGTTTAATTTATGTATGCAATAAATTTATAATCATCTTTGTGTGTTCCTCCAGACATACACAGTGCACCTGTGTTACAGCAGTACAGTGGCTGTCAACACTTCTTGTGTCACATACTTGCCAGCATACACTGAGCTATTGACTGGTCAAATGTGAAGCCTACTGTCATCAAATCAGACCTCATACAATAAACACAACATCCATAACATTAAATATTAATAAGAAGTGGAAATTAATTATAGTGTGTGGTGTAGAGCTGGTTATTATAAACAATGATTTGAAGGCCTCGAAATGAATCTAATGTAATCCAAATCGCTTAAATCACAGGACTGAACAAACGAGAACTTCCATTTACGTAAGTGTTCTTCCGAGCAGATATTTGCAGTCAGGAAATCGATTGGATATGGTCTGATTCTAGTTAGAAAAGTAAATGTCTTATACATGTATGAAGTCAATTCACTCAACACAGAATGGAGAGCCACCGAGACTTAACTAGAGACTTATACTGGGTAAATATAGATTAGATTATACTGTTTTATAGATCACTGCTTGCCCAAGTGACCCAAGTTATTATGAAAGCTTTTTATGTAGAAATAAGATACAACATAAATATTCAAGAATCAAGCTGAAATTTTGAGAGACAGGAGCCAAATCTATTCTTCTGCTGTCTTTGTCTGCTTGAGCAGTGAAAACAGTTGTTGGCTGCCAATCATGTGAAACCTCATCTTGAACCGTAGCTGACTTCAGACACAGGACATGGAAAGACTACTACTACATCTCTTTGTCTTTGTTTTTCTCTTTTTCTATCTCTGTTTTGCTCCCTAAATATCCCAAAATCTCTCCATTGCACTCTTTGCCTCTTCCACTTTCTTCTCTCCCACTCTGGTTCATCCATTCAGGATAACAGCCACTGGAACAGGCGCTCCAGCAGCTGGAAACTCAAGGTGGTTTAATCTAAATATCAGGGAGCAGGATGGGAACCAGATGCAGTAAAAAATGAAGGGGGCACATTTTATTCAATTAGCATGGGGACCTCCAAAGGGCACTCTGCAAAGGGGAAGAGCAATTTTCATGAGTCTCTTAGAATTTTTATAGGGGAAATAAGTGTCTGCTTAAACCTCAAGACCAGAAGTGTTAGCATTGACCATCATCACACTTAAATTCAAAGGTTAGAGACATCGTGCAATGTTAAATATGAGCAGTCACATCTTCCATTGTGAATATCGGCTAAGCTTGAAGATTTAAGAGATGACGGCTAGTTAGAAGAAGGGGAAAATTTGGGGAAAGGATAGATGAATGACTAACACTCTCCACTCCTTCAGGAAATACCTTCAAGCTGCCCTTGGGCAAGGCATTTAATATTAATCCATGTTATAGCAAAATACAGTTTTTCAGGGTTCAAGTAGGACTGCGGTTTTTCGTGCTTGTTAAAGCCTTGGCTGTTAGACAAGACAGTCTGAGGCATGAAAGGAACAAAACTGTAAGTTGAAAGGAAACAGCCCTTGTAAATGGACAAAGTACACAAAGAGGCTTTTTCCAAACAGTAAACTTGTGAAATGTTAATTGATGCTAGAAAAAGTGGCTGATGGTAACATTTTTTTCTTCAGGGTAATTAATTTTTCTTCTTTTTATCACTTCAAATTTCCACTTACAACATAAGATACACTGCCTGTTTTCCTACTGATTGTTGGAGGCTTACTTTATTGCTCTGATCCACCTGTCATTAGCTGGCCGCTTATAAGATGCTTGCAAGGTTGAATATTTGTGCCTGAGGTTTATAAACAAATACTCACAAATGTTTTATTGTTTGAGCTTATAACCAGTGGTGGAAGAAGTAATAAGATTCTTTATTGGCTGGAGCCAATCCCAGTTGATATTCTGCGAGGGCGCGTTACACCCTGGACAGGTCTGCAGTCTATCACAGGGATGACATATAGAGACAAACAACCAGTCACGCACACATTCACACCTATGGGCACTGTAGCCAATCAAACTAATGTGCATGTCTTTGGACTGTGGGAGGAAGCCGGAGTACCTGGAGACAACCCCTGTAGATACGGGGAGAACATGAAAACTCCACACAGAAAGGCGCCCTCCTATTTTGCATCATTAACCTGGTTCAATCTCTGACATAGATTACTTGTTAGGTTTGTTTGTTATTTGAAACGGAGGAAGCAACTAGAAGGATGAGAACCCAACAACAGAAACAGGCTGTCATGAGCTAATGCTGATACTGCTGACCCCAGTAAATTATGGTTTTGTCCCTTAGAGCAACACTTCCCAACACTTCCCAGATAAAGCTGTCATCATTCTATTATTTTCTTATTGCCAACAAATGCAATGAAAGAGCAACGTCTTGAGCCACAGGCAGCATTGTTGGGTTTTTGTTGTCATGGGACTTGTTGACCGTAAGAAAATGTAATTATTACTAATTCATTGTCACCCTAGAAACAGTAAAAAAACAAAAAAAAAAAACAATTCAAATTTTCATGTTATTACCTTTTACACCAAGAATGTTATTCACATCTTAAAATGCCTGTTGTGCCATTTTATTCAGTGGATTTTCTTCAAATTATTCTGCAGTTTAAATTATTTTTCCCTTATATTGACAATAATATACTTTCATATTATTAATAAAAATGAACTAAGGCTTGTGTTTTTTTTATGTCTATCTGACTGGAAGGTTAGGACAAAGTAGTTACTGTATGTGCAATGGATAAGAATGACAAGACTGCAGATGCCTTGATTTCTTTTTCAAAGGAACAAGAAAGGGAAGTGACAGTTTGACAGTTTACCTGCCAACCTGCATCCACAACCTACTGACTGCTGCTGCTTCCAATTCACTAAGTTTCACACAATGTTGTACAAGCTGTAGTCCACACAGATTGATATGTTAGTTCCTCGTTGTGTCAGATTTGTACACTCTCAGTTGAAAGTACTGACTGTGACAAAGACATATGTGTGGATGAGGTGGGTCCAGGCTTTCACAGATGAATTGGTCGATGATGGACTTGGAGGAAACGGGTGGATTTTCACAGTTCCTCTTTGCATCTCCTTTTCTTCTCCCTCTGCTCTTCTCGCCTTTCCTCTCACATCTCCTGTCACCTGTATGTGGTTTCTTCTTCCTGCATTTTCTCTCTTCTGCTCTCAGTTCTGCTCTCTTCTCCCCTCAACTGGGCACAGTCCAAATAAAGCCAAACAGAGGATTATTATCCTCAGAAATGTGGTGGAATATATTGGCCCCCTCAACACTGAGAAGGTGAGGCACCCTGCTGAGACGAGTTCCCCACCAAATGCAGGATTTCCATCAGCATTTGTGTCAGTGGCAGGTTTCAATGTCCAATGGGTCCACATACTGTTTCATGGGGCCCTACCACCCTGCCAAGAAAAATGTCTGGTGGTTAATAAACACCAGACATGTGCTTGTAAATGCTGGCTGCTGTCTGAAAGGTACTAACTCCATTGGCTGCTTTGGCAGGTCACCCTTATTTTGTTGGTGGCGAGGAGAGATGGTGCACTTCCAATTTCTCTGCTATTTTATCTCAATTTATCAATTTTTACAATAACTGGCCGCCACACATGTAGAAAATATCTAGTGGCAGTAGAGCCAAGCTGCATCATTAAAACAAAGTGTAAGATGTCAACAACGAATGGGAGTTAGCTTTAATATCCCCAATTTCTTTGACCTCTGACTACTTCTGGCACCATCTGTTATCAAAGTGATGATATGGGGATGCAGCACAAAGCTCCTGCAAGAGATATTTAAACCCTTTGACTGCAGCTGTCGACCACAACGCCAAACTCACAGGGGTTTGGTGATTTTATGCCTCATTCAATTTCTGCAGTTTTAACAAGGCAAAAAGACTGGCTATAACTCCACAACTGGGTCTGTTAAAAGGAGATTATGTTGTTATCTCTGGCCAAATGGGTTTTGATTACCCATACAATGCTGGAAAACACTGTGCAATAGTTTATATGAAAAATAAACAGACTGCTGAATAGGGCCCACACTGCTGGAGAAACCGCAAGACAATCAAATGAGAGGAGTAAGATTATGAGAAAGACAGCTAAAGATATAAACAGAGAGGAGCGAGAGGAGACAGAGGAAGAAAAGTATGTAAAACTGAAAAAGATGGAGAATGACTGATGAGATGACAAAGGCTCCTCTACTAATTTCTGTTATTGCAACACAACACATTGTATTAACTTGAATATCAGCTTTTTACAATTATTTTGTTTACATTTTTCAGTGGGAGTTCTGGTCACGTTTTCACATTTTCCCCTCAACGTGTTTTGAATGTGTGTGTTTGTGTGTGTTTCCCAAACAAGTCTGTGAGGGTGGTGACCCAGTTTCAGCAGCAAGGTTTCTGGGGTTTTTTATGTCTTTTTTTCAGCCCTGAATGAGTCTGAGGTGGGAGAAGCCGACACTTGACAAAAGCCATGTGGTTCATATGAACACA